ACAGATAATAAATGCTATAGGTACTAGTCATTATAGATACAAGACACTATAGATACCAGTTACTATAGATACCAGATACAACAGATAGTGGATCCTATAGATACTAGTTATTACAGATAGTAGATACAATAGCTACCAGACACTATCAGATGCCACAAGAGCTGCCCACGACCACAGCACCATCAGAGGCCCTTCTCTCCCTCTACCCCATGAGCCTCCCTCACTTCCTCCCACCTAGTTCACACCATGTCAATCTGCTCCAGTGTCCGAATGCTCCGGAAGTTTAAAAGTGACAATCCAGATAAGACCCACACTTGCCCCAGGCCCTCCACAGCCAAGTGCACCAAAGGTGCCAGAAACTATCCCTGAAGGCCCCCCAGTAAGAAGTCCCAGCTCCACAAACATTGAGGCGTCCCCGGGAGGGCAGCACTGGGGGGTACTTGCCATAGCTGGTTACATCAGACTTGTACTGATCAAAGTGCATGGCTCCACTTAAGAAGCCGAAGTTAGTGCCGCCATGGAACATGTAGAGGTTGATCGAGGAGCCGGCGTCGATGATGGCAGACACTGTTCTCAAAACCTCTATAGGAGGAAGGGAGGGAGCAGGATGGACAGAGTGCATTAGAGTCTGGGACAAGCCCCAAGCGGGGCTCTCGCCTTTCCCCACGCCTCCTCAAATTCACTTTCATTGCTCTGTGCTTCAAAGCCAGAAAAAGAGGGGAGGAAGAAATGACAGGAGTCAAATGAGAGCCAGGCCCTGGGCTTACGCTGTCCCCACACAGCGTCAGGTCTCCAGGGACTATGGCTGGGAGACCTGCAGCTTGGGGTACCACTGCCACTCCCAGAATGCTCCTTGACTGGGTAAGATGCAGAGAGGAGTTACACAGGGAGATCATTCTGGCCACTTCTTCAGCCCACCTACATTGAAGCATGAACCAGTGGCATGAAAAGCTAGTATTAAAGGAGAAATATAAATGGTGGGTGTGTGTAGGCGCGTACATGTAACTCACTAATGGTCAAGAAAATAGGAACCAAACAATGACCTATCGGATTGGCAAATATTCAAAATTATCCAAATATAGAGTGTTGATGAATCTGTGGGAGAGGAGTATGCTCATTTTAAAATGCTGAGAATTGCTACAGTCTTACTGAACAGAATTTAGTGAACATATATCACAACTGTATTACTGTAGCAATTCTATTTCTAGAAAATTTATATCGCAGGGAAAAAATACGCCAGGTGTGCAAGACTGGAGGTTCAGACTGCTCGCTAAAATGGTGCTCAGTTGCTAAAATGGTGCTCAGTTAACAAAGCCACAGGAAACAACCTAAGTAGGTGCCCAGCAGCAAAAGACTGGGTAAACAAAGTGTGGTTGAATCACCAACTTGCTGGGATTCTCTCATTCTTTAAAATAGTGATGGGATCTATACCTAATACATAGCTGTCCACCTGTGTCATTAGCTGGGAAAAGAAGGTGACGAGGAGCAGATACAAAGGACATTTGACCATCTCTCATCTGGACATAGAGATAAGGAGAAGCACCTTGATTTTAGCTCCAATACTTCCTCTGGCTCTGGGATTTTTTTTTTCTTCTTTATACCTTTCCTGTATTTGCTAAATGTTTGCAGTAGGCATGCATTACTTATCTAATTACAAAAACATAATAAAGCAATGGTAAAAGTTCACCTAAATGTCAAGACAAATGACTGCAATATCAGGAGCTGACGATTATACACAAATCATCCCTGGAGCTTGGCACCCTACAGCTAATTGGCATCAATTAGCAGACTATTTGGAACTTACTTTTACCTCCAGGTCAACATAGTGCTGGGTATAGGTAGGGCAGCGCACTCACCAGAAGAATCCAGAATGTTGTGGGGGCCACCCCATGAGTCAAACCACCCTGTCCAGTATTCCATCACCATCTTGGGCTGAACACCCTGTGTACACCAAAATGAGAAATTAGCTGGCCAAAAGAGTCAGAGGATGCCCCTCCTGGAGGGGAATGCCCACCCTTCTGTCCTCCTAACTTTCCCCCACTAACTGCCCCTGGCCTCAGGGACCACTGGAAGGCAAGTGCAGATGAAGTCAAGTGTCCCTGCTTCAGCCACACTGCAGGGGCAGACGGTGGCAGGCTACAAAGCAGAGGCAGGAGACCCTGCTGCTCCCTGTGGTTTCACAGTTGCACACAGCACTAGCAAGAAAACCCCGGGATCTTCATTAGAATTCAGATCTGCCTTGGGAGTCTTTTCCAATAGAGGCTGCTCTCTGGGTCACGCCAAGCTTTGTCTCTGCTCTTCCAGGGAAGAATATCTAGCCAGGATAATTCCCTTTCTGAGAGGCATGCTGTGGGCACACATCCCCAATTGCTGCTCCCCTTTACCTGGAAGAATGGGGGACTACAGAGTAAACTCCGTTTTGAGTTCCAACCTGGTTAAAACAGAACTTTGCAAAACTGGACCCAAAAGTCAGGACGGTACAGCTCTAAACCGCAGAGGCTTCATTACGTCACACCTGGGCTGGGATGTTCAGGAAGTCTTAAAGATGACTTCAGAACCCTGACTTTGGCACAAGAGGCCCCAGGGGTGCAGAGATTCTCCCCAGAACCAGGCCCAGCCTGTCATGTTTGCAGAAGCACCAGAGCACCCCAGAGGATAAGGAGTACTAAGCTGAACTGCGGGCTCTGTACCAGGGAGCTTCCTCATCCACATGGTGCTCTCCAGCAGTGGCTGCCAAACACAGGGCAGCTGCATGCAGGGCAAGAACACCTGACCCAGGTAGCAGGCCACTTTTATGGCCCACTGAACAGAAGGCACCGACCACACCTGGAATAAAGCCAAGGCAGTGGCATACTTTTTTTTTTTAGCAAGACTGGTGTCCTGGTTTTCTTTATAGCTGTCTGCCTCCCCAGGAGGGGATGCGCTGAGCCACATCTATATCACTAAAAAGAGAGAAATAGATCCTAAGCCCCACATCACAGGGGGGTCTACTGCCAGGGCCAGGGAGGGGGGCGCTGGCCCCGCCAGTGTGTGCACAGTGCGGTGAAGTGCTGGAGTCCCACGTGTGATCGGGCTGTGCTGCTGACCTGCCACTTCCTGGTGTTTTATCCCTGCTACAAGTCTGTGGCTTCAACTGTGAGATGGTAAAAGACGGCTTTCATAGCTATTAGGGGAATTAAATGAGATCATGCAGATAAAGTGTTTAGTCTACGTGCCTCTCTTCGACTAAGACTTAGAAAGCACTCAAGAAGCATTCACATGGATTCTGCTCATCACTGGACATGGGCGTCAGGTCCAGCCAGGTGCTTCCCCATCACAAAGTGAAAAGAACGGTCCCTCCCTCTGTTTGCCCTCCCTGGTGGTGCAATGGGTTAAAACACAGCACTAAGAAGCTAAAACCACTTCAGTATGAGTTTGATCTCTGCTCCGGAGGTGACCCACATGGCGTGGCAGACCTCTCCTGGCCCACCCACTGCTCCCCTCAGCAGTGTACTTCGTCAAGCTTCCTGTTCTCCTCCCCACTCTGTCTCTGGTGATTCTCTTATTGCTCCTGCACTTCTGGCCTGTACCCCAGTTCTGTATGCATAAATAAATAAATGTTGGTTTTTATTTTTTAAAGAAAGGAGCCCTGGATCTAAAGAAGGGAGCATCCAAACTCACTTCCTGGAGGAAAACAGACATGTCCAAGCTGCAGACAGCAAGGCCTCCGGGAGAGCCACTTTCAGGCAGGACGAGCTGACAGGGTGCACAGGGTGGGCCGCTTCTCCAGCTCCACGAAGAAGCCACATGCAGATGTTTTGCAACCATTTTCTCATTTAATCCTCAAACAAGCCCATGCAGAGGTGCCATCATCACCTCCACTTTATAGACGTGAAAAGAGGAGCACAGAGAGCTCACAGGGCATGGGCAGGGGGCGGCTCAGAGGACCCCACACTCCTCCTGGACAGCACTCAAGTGCAAACCCTACCTGTTTTATGTCTCCCCAAGCAGGTTATGACCCCCATGAGGACAGAGACCTTGTGTCTCGGTCACTGCAGAGTCACAGTGGCTTAGCCTCATCCCCCCACCCCAGCAGGAAGGGAGAAGGGCAGGAAGGAGGAAAGGTGTGAGGGAGAAGAGACTGGACCTGAACCCACCTGTATCTACCAACTGTCCCCCCAGTCTGCCTGGGGTCAGAGCCCCCGTCTCCTCCTAGGCACCGCCATGCTCATTCTCTCCCTCTGAGCTCTAGTAGGGGCCACAGCAGCCACAGGGGTGACCGCCTCCCTAAATGGCTCACATTGAAAGTTGACCCCATGTTGATGTGCCTGAGGAAACTACCTCAGGCCTGCAAAACCAACAGCCAGCATGGAGAGCAACCTAGCGCTTCCATGGGCACCTACTCGTGGTGACCAGGGGTTCAGGCCGACATCCAGCGGGGGGTGGCAAGTTGGGGGGCTCACACCCTTCATTAGACAGGGCAAGGACAGGGGGGTTTGGTTCTGGGAGCAGCCTGCATCTACCTGGGCAGGTCCACCTATCTCCTCAGGACACAGGGACTTGAGAAAAGAGAACTCAATCCAAAGAAGATGCAGTTGAATTCCTGTCAATCTGAAGGGTGTTGAGACACATGCAGAAACACCTCTTGCTGCTACCCTTGAAGAGACCCAGCTTCCAGATCATTCTGATGACAACCTTTCTAAGACCCGAGGGTTTAAGTCAGACACATACAGGACAGGGCCGGAAAGGGGTTCTTCCCTCAGGCCATAGGCCCAAACTCGGCAGGTCTGGGGCTAGTTGGGGCAGCAAATTCTAGTCAAGAGGCCTCCATGGAAACCCAAGCAGAGTGCAAAAGGGGCCCTTTCCCAGGAAGCAAGAGGTCTCTTTCCTGCCTCCACTTCCATAGCACCCTCAGAGCCACACTGTACCCCTTCCCAGGGGTGAGGAGTTGGGGTCTACAGTGCAAGGGAGCTGTGAGCCACTGTCCTTCCTGCCTGTCAGGGAGCCCTGACACAAGCACAAGCACCCCAAAGCACCAAACTTTCCCACAGAGCACAGCACCAGTCTGGCCCTAGGAACCCCTACACTCAGACCAAGCAGGCTGACAGCTCCCCTGGGAAGACTTACCTGGACACTGAGGAGAAAGGTGGTTAGAACCTGCAGATCATCTTGCGACTGTAAGTTGATGGTGGCCAGCACTGGGCATGAGGGAGAAAAGAGAAACAGAATCACTGTAAAGCCAGGAAGAGTTTCTGAATACCCCACACCTTTCTCACAAACAAATGAACTCATTGCAAGGTAATGTGCCACCCCAAGGACAGTGCCGCTCCCCTGATTAAAGGAGAGCAACCTTGTCCTAAAGACACCCCACCACTCAACACAGACCTGTGGGAGTTTCTGTCCTCAACCGTACGTTCTACAACCAGAGTCTGCATTTCTGCTTTTTTTTTTTTTGTAGGGACCCAGAATCGGATCTTTACTTTGTACCTCAAGCAAACAGCACAGGGTTAAAGATCTCAATGAAGACGACCCTTTTATTTCTTAAATGAGGGCTGATTTTCCATTCTGTGCCATAGCATGTTCAGTTTTTAATTGAAAATGTTGTTTGAAATGGCTTCCCAATCTGCACAGTGTTTGCCCGGCCAATGGCCATGGAGCCCTTGCCTACCCCAGAGGCAGAACCTGGTGCAGAGACCCCTCAGCTCTTCACTGGAACCAAGCAATTTACTGGAGGACAAGCTGGCCCTGCAAGCCGGCCACAGACATCAGTCCCTGATGACTGATGATTTGAAACAAAAGAGAAAGAGCTCAGGCCTCATAAGATTAAATCATTGGCCTAAGGTGACATAACTGGCTAACAGCAGAATAAGCCTACAGCCACAGGACCCCATGACACTGACCTGTCACCCTGTCACGTCACCATCATTCAGTCATCTGCTGGGTTAAGACCACATAGCCAGACCCTTGCTCACCTAAAGTAGGAGCCCTTGAAAACAGACCTGGCATAAATCTCAGAGGTCAGGGAGTTCGGCACAGCTAGCTGAACACAGCACCTATTTCCTGACACCACGAAAATAACATAATGAAAAGGCCATAAAGAAGAACTACAGAGGGCATAAAGCAGTAAGAAATCCTGGGAGGCTGACAAGGGATGGTAGATGGGTAAGTAGCCTGGGAGAACAGAGGAAGTGACAACTAGCTTCCTGCCTGCAGCCTGAAGCCTTTCCAGACTGGAGAGCTCAGCAGCATGGCAGTCCCCTCCCCCACCAATGTCCATGCCTTCAGGGAACCGAAAGTCCTCAGAAAGCTGAGCCCCAGCAACCAGAGTGGAGGGATAGACACAGCAGGTGTGGGCTGAGAGGTAGGAGGAAAGGCATGGCTGGGGAACAGGGCAGTCTGAACCGGGGCTCTTCCCAGTCCTCCTCTGCTTCCAGAAAGAGGGTCATCCCAGAAACATGTGAGAGAACTAAAGATGATATCTCCAAACCCTGGTATTTAGGACCCTCAGGAATAGACTGCCATCACCCCACTACACCCAGAGAAACACACCTGTCACCTTTCCTCAACTCAACGCCAAGTGTTTGGTCATTTTATTGTCTCTTTCTTACACTGCTGAGTCAAGAGCCCGGTGGGAAAATTCCCTCACATGGAAGACTGAGCAGAATAAATATGTTTAAAAGTAAAATAACCTCAAGAAAGATACGATAGTCTACGGGGGTGGTGTGCATACTCTACAGTGCAACACATTCACAAAAAAGCATGAGCAAGAAATGAACAGAAGGTTTTGAAGGTGAACATTGAGAGAGTCCTCAGAAAGTACAGCTACAGGCAAAGAGTTGGGTTTTGTTTTGTCTTTTAAGTTTAAAGGTAAGGGGCTTAGCGAAACCACACAGAGGCCAACCACCAATTATAGGAATGACCAAAAGATCAGAGAACAGAGGGGAAGGGCACATCGGAGAGCGGGATGACCGCATTTAACCACCATGAATGGCCAGGACCGTTGCAATTTAAGTGACCCACAGTAGTATCGGGAAGCCTCATACTGTAACAGGGTGGTCCCTAGGAAAAGGGGAAGTTCCAGGTTCCCTGCCCCACCCAGAAGGAGGGTGGAGCTGAGCAGAAAAAAAGAAGAGAAGAAGAGAAGGAAGCTGGATGGAGAACAAGAAGGAGACCTGAGGAAGCCACCTGGAGCAGCAAGCATGTGATGAAGAATCGGTGCTTGTTTCCTGACCCTGGACTGGCTAAGGCAGATGTAGGTGAGACACCTGTAGGGAGGTGACTATGGCAGTGTTTATATTGATTTTGATGTTGTTCTTTTCCTCCCAGATTTGTCTGACCATTTCTGACCCTTTTCCATGGTCCCGGCCAGAAGGTGCTTTAGTCTTGTGGCAGCTTTCAGGCCTTGCTTTGGACCAGCACCTTTTGGGTGGACTTTGGCCCACGAGGGGATGGGTAACTTCAGGTGTTTGATTTAGAAGTTATATTCTTTGTGTTCCGAATTGTATATTCACTGTATTAAAGTCCCTTTTCATTAAAGTTTTTATATGTTTTGTCTTGTTGCGGCGGATGGCAGAACCCACTTAGAGCAGGCAGATTTTGGGGGCTTCAGGGGTACCCCTCTCTCCCTCTGTCCTCTAAGAAAATTGGGGTGCCCTATAACAATACCAAGAAAAAGCCTCATACCAAGGGCATCATTGTGAAATACCAGAATGCCCAGGATGAAAAAGACATTCTAAGAATTTCTAGAAACCAGAGGGAGAGGGAGAAATAATAAGCCCAGCACAGACAAAAGGATCAGGAAGCAGAATGTCATTGTCCCTCAACCCTAGCAAAGTACGGAGAGATGGCTTTCAAGTCCCAGGAGGCAGCGGGGCAGCAGGGGACGCCAAGCTCAACAGCAGGTGACAGCTGTAAGCCCACCCCAGCAGGTCAGGGCAGAGGAGGGAGAGCCTATGCTTGACAAAGAATCTGGCAGACAAGCATTTGAAGAACACGAGGATGGGGATTTGGAGGATCTGTGGTAACACATTCTTTAAAAGAGAAGAGAGGGCGGAAAGAAGAAAAGAGATGCATCGAAAAGAAAAACAATAGGGATCCACCCGCTGAGTGAAGAGGAAGGACGCGGGATCCCAGCCGCCCCTCCCCCACCCCGCCCCACCACCAACCCACTCCCTACCTCGCAGATCCCGCCAGAAGAGGCAGCAAGAGAGGCAAAACATGGTGCAGAAAAAGAGCTCAGTCCTCAATGGGACGAGGAGTAGACAGATTTTTAAATCGGTAAGTGGAGTTCTTGATGCATGTTACTTGGAATTATGGAAACACATTTTAAACAGGGAAAAGTACAAGAGTTCAAAATGGTCGTGCCTGGCGAGAGGCAGGACACTATTTCCTTACAAGCACTTTCCGCGAGTACCTGGACTTTAACTGAAAAAAACCTTTGCGGCAGCAGGCTCCGGCCAGGTGTGTGCTGGGTTGGGCTGGGAGGCGTGGAGGGAGGCCGGCAGTGAAGGGGCGTGGCAGAGCGCGCAGGACAACGGGTGCTTGACGTCTCCAAGCATCCAGCCGTTCGAGGCGCTCCTCCGCAGGACGCCGATATGCTCAGTGTGCACCATCCCCAAAGGGGCCTCAGATGCAAGAATGGCCACAGCCCTCCAGGCCACAGCAGCTGGCAGTTGGCAGGAGCCCAGCGGTTTGGGATGAGGGGCTGAGGGGAGACCCTGGAGCAACTTCGAAGGGACAGTGCCACCGCGTGGACAGGACGGGAATCGCGGCTGGTCCTCAGGAATATGGCTATGGGACCAGGATTTACTGCCTCATTGGGGCCCCCAGGCTTCTCCCACACTTGGTTGCCAGCTGCACGCCATGCGCTGGCCTCGGGCTACAGAGATGAAAGTCCCTGATCCCAGAGGAAACGGGGCAGGAACAAAGCAGTAATGTGCTGTAGCAGAGGCAGGCAGGTGGAAGAGTTCACAGGCTCCAGGCTGATGCCCAGAAGCGCTTCCTCCTCCATGCAGGCCTGTTCCTTGTGAAAACCCCACAGAGCACTGAGCCAGTCAGAGTCCAGGCCTGGACAGAGCTTACCATGAAGCAAATCAGGTTTAAAAAAAAAAAACTGCCTGGATTGTTCAAAGACAAAAAAATAAAGTAAGGCAGAAGGAATGAGGAGAAGCTGCAATTTTGAATGGGTGCTAGGAAGAATGAAGAGCCAAATGACCCAATTATTAAAGTGGCAACAGATATCAACAGGCGACTGACTAAAGAGCCAAAAGACACACTAAGACATGTGCACCATCACTTCTAATAAGAGACATGCAGATTCCACCTCACACCAGTGAGGAAGAAACATATTAAAAAGACCCCCTAACAACAAGTTTTGGAGACGATGCAGAGTAGAAGGAAGCTATTATATGTTGGTGGAAATCTGAACTGGTGCAACCATTAAGGGAAGCAATTTCCAGACTTACCTTAAAAAACTGAAACTGGAAATACCATACGACCCAGCAATGCCACTCTTGGACATCTGCCCGAGCATCGACACAAAACCCACATCTTCCACAATGTTCACAGCAGCAATGTCTACAGTAACTAGCGCATGGAAGCAGCCTGCATGTCCATCAATAGACAACTGGACCAAGAAGTTGTGGTAGATCCCTATGTGGAGTATTATACAGCCATGAGAAAGGATGAAACGCAGCCATTTTTAACAAAATGGAGGGAACTTGAGAGAAGCACAGAGAGTAAAGTAAGCCAGATTTTAAAGAAAAATACTGAACTTTTACATAGCCAACAACTGAACACATAAAAACACTTCCAAAATGAGTGCACCTCAATGAACACCCTGAGGTCTCTGTGGTGGGGAGGAAAAATAACCAAGGGATATGAGGCAGTGGTGAGAAAAATTAAAATCAATAAAAACCCCGAAATTTTAAAAGCAGTATCCATGAATGTAAGGGTAGTAGTGTGCTGGCCATGGCTTAGGAGAGGAGAGGGGAAGGGACTGGGGGAGCAGAGTGGACATGTAGAGACTTACTGAAAGGGAAGCAGAGAAATCAGAGCAAGAGAAACTGGAGGATACAGGAAAAAAAGAGGATGATTCTAGAGCAATGCCAGCAAGTAGGTGAGACAAAGGGGCTGGGGGACAGGTATGCCCACCCCAGGGAGAGGCAGAGGAAGGGGGCTGGAGTGCCCTGGTCACCACTAGTCTCTCACTGCCCAGACAACTTTCCTCCACAACAGAGGCTTCACAGACCGGTGTGACAGGCCAGTTTACTCTACAACCTGGGCAGGATCTGAGTGGGCCATCACAGGGCACCCAGGACTTCCTCTGCACAGCCGCTCTGTGGACGTTTAGAGGGCTTGTAGGTGCCCAGCTCACTGTTTCCATGTCCTGCAGTCTGAAGCACACTGCCAAGGTCCTGACCAGCAGAAAGGGGAGGCCGGCTCCAGAGCTGGCTATGACGAATCTCTCTGACACGGACTTTGCCGCACACTGAAGCCCTTACCTCAGGGCACAGAGCCATGAACAATAGAATGAACAATGGAGACCCAGGCAGGTGGCTGTGACCAGACTGGAGGAGCGTGCATAGTCCAGTCAAGCCCGGGTCTTGTCCCCCCACCCCCACCCCCCGCATGGCTTCCATGCAGGTACCTCCTTCGACAAAGCCCTTGCTCAGGCCGTCCTTGTTGTCCGAGGTCAAGAGCAGCTCCACAATGCCTCGGTCCTCTAAGGCCTGTGGCGGGAAATAAGTCATGTCAAGGTCTGCCGTTCCTCAAATCATGTCACCCAGTGGGGAATGCAAAAGAAAGGAAGTGGTTCATAATAAAGCATTCATTGCTCTGCACAAAAAGGAGCATGACTCCTTGTCTGCTCGCCATATTCCGCCAAGATCCCATCAGCTGGAAGTGCAGCTGGGGCAAAGGGCAGGGTCTGACAGGGCAGGGTCCGGCCGTTCGGCAGCTCCCAGACTCAGAGCAGCTCAGCAAGACCGGCTGGTCATGGAGCCAACTACAGGGCCCTCAGGGGTCAGGGCCTCCAGCACAGCCCCTCTTCAGCCACTCCAGGAGCAAGCAGCCGGTTGCCTCCCCACACTGGCCAGGATGGACCCTGGACAGTAGCCGGTCGCATGCCCTGGGGTCTTAGATGCACCTGGGAGAACAGGAAGCACTCGTGGACAGCCATCAGTCAAGGGGTGAAGAAGTGGGAGGGGCAAGCATCACTTTGCAGCGTGACCACATGCTGCCATTTACGGGGGGCGTACCGTTGAGGCAGACCTTCTGGCTGGGCACTTCACACAGACTCTCCTGCTCAATTCTCACAAATAATAACTGCAGGCGAAGGTCCTCAGAGAGCTGGATGAAGTTAAGTGTGAATGGCTGACAGCTAAGGCACAAGGATGGACCCCAGGCCAAAGACACTGCTGCCAAAGGGCTGCGGGCTCTTTTTGGATCAGAAACCTCAGGCGGGGATTTCCCTAGACTTTTCCCTCCAGACATTATGACATGATTGCGTACTTCAACCAATTATTTAGAAAACAGGGGAGACTGAGCAATAGATATTCTGGTGGGTGAATAAAGTTCATGTCTAATCCTAGAGGTGGGTGAACAAGAACAGAGGGACCCAGTTTTGAGGGACCACAGAAGCTGCAGAAATGCAATACATCTGGCCACAAGAATTCTGACTGAAAGCCCTGGGCCCACACCACAGAGCTCTCCCAACAGCCATCCACTGCTGTCTTATAAAGTCTGATCAGGATGTTCCCTGTCCGTGCAGCACTGTGAGTTGGGAAGGTGTGGGGGTGGACAGTACCCATCCTTCAGAGCAGACCCACACCTGACTTTTCACAGTGACTAACTGCACACTGGAAGGGATGTTAACTATTTTCTGGGCACCTGCACCTTGCAGAGCAAAGTTAAAGCCTTGCGTCATCTCTGTCTGCATTTCCACTGAAGCCTGGAGAAAGGCACCTGGCCTTGTGGTACACCTGGTGTAATGAGGTACACAGAAAGGCGGTAAACCTGTCCAGTGTTACCTTATGCATGGTATCTGCATATGCCCACCCCAGAAGAAGGCGCATGGCTACCCTATGTGTGGTGTCTGCGTGTGCACACCCCAGGAGAAGGCACACGGCAGCTCAGAGCTTCAGGGTTGACATAGGGCCAGGCTGTGGCTGCCCTTGTGCCCCTGTCTCACAGGAGAGCCCTTTCTGAGACAAGCGAAGTGTGACTGCACAGGAATGGCTGCCTTCTCTTCTCCTTTCCTGCAGCTCAGTGATCCAGTAAGCACTGCAGGAGAAGCCTGAGCACCCAAGAAAGAGTCTGAAGGAATGAGGGAGAACAGGAGAAGCTCCCCAGTCCAATGCTCTGTCTGGGATTTTTCTAGTGAATTCGAAGACAAAGAGGAAGTAGGTGAGGTCCCACTGAGGCAGTGGCCAGGCTTGACATCAGAACCAAACTCCCGTCTGCCAACATTAGGAGCGACCCACTTCCTAGATGCTGTCTTGCCCCCTTCGCACGAGGCTTCTGCAGGTGAGGAGGGAGAAGAGTTGTGTTTGAGCTGGAGTACTGAGCCTGGGTCAACCTGTTCACAGAGACTGAAATAATTTCCAGATGGAAAATTCATCTTCATATACAACAGAAGACATGCTGCCCATGACACCAAAGGTCAAAACCAAAGTTTTCATTGGCTGGATCCACTGAGGCCACCTAATGTTCCCCCACCCTGGCCGGACCTCCTCTGTCCTCCCAAACTAATGCCTATGATTCTAACCAAGTCTTACTCACCGGCCATTTATTGTGTCCCTAGAACAGTACTGAGCCATATGGCCTCACATCAATGCACAAATCACTCTCACAGGCAAATATTCTCATTAGTTCTTGATAGAAGAGAAAATGAGGTTTAGGGAAATGAAGGCATGTGCTCAAAGTCTTGGTTACTAAGATACAGAAACCAGACTATTAGCCTGTTGTGAGTATTGCTTTAGCCTTGCCTGTCTCTGACTGCCATCCATTAAAGCAGTGGTTCCCGACCTCACCTCCTCATTAGCATCAGATAACTGAGTGACCTCCCAAAGATTCTTATTTAATTGCCATAGTATATAACCCAGGGATAGGAATCTCTTCAGACCCCCTAGAAGCCAGTATGTAGCCAAAGCAGGAAACTGCTTCTCAAGCAGCAGGTGCCAATGCAGTCTCTAACCATCATCATTCCCTGAAGCCAATCCCTTTATCCTCGGCCCCTGCAGTGCCATGTGTCTATTGAAATACCAAATTTCCCAATCAGTAAAGGGTTAATAAACGATGATCTGCTGAAATAAAAGCACAGAGAAGGAACTCACTGGGAGATGGGGTGGTAACAGAACTTAAGTATTAGACACACATATCACAGGGTAGCCCACAATCCATCGAGAGGAAGACCTACAAAAAAATGCAGAGATGACCCTCACCTTCTTGATATAAGGCATATAGGCGGGGTCTTTGTTATAGGAACCATATTCATTCTCCACCTGCACAGCAATGATGGGTCCTCCATGCTTGTACTGGGAAAAAAATAAACAAGCAGAAGTTGAGTTTGTAGTGTAAACTGTATTATCTGAGTTCACCACACCTATAACTAATCACTAGTGAAACATCACATTTGAAAGCAAAAAATTGAAAAGTTCGAAATGTAATTGAGAATGACATCAGTAAGACAAGGAGTGTGAAGGTATAGGTTCTCATTCTCCCATGGAAACATCACATAAACAACTACAGACTAAAATAACTGGGAGGGATTTCTGGACACTCGTCGAATTTCTAAGCAAGCAAGTGAATGCCCAATGGAGAAAAACTCACATTCAAAATAGGAAATATCGTGGTATTTTGACTCGCCTTTGCCCCTTCCTCCCTGGTGCAGCATAGTGTCATCAGAAGGAAGCATCCCAATTACCAGTTCCCTCCCTCAGGACTCAGGGATCAAAATGGAACTTGTTTGCCATGTTCTGTGGGCTTCCCAGTGGGCTAGTTTCTGTCTCATATGACTTGGAACGCAGACAGGAAGTCAGTACAGCTTCAATCTCCGGATGGAAGCTGCAGAGGGCAGCAGTGAGTCACAGCAAGTGAAAAATTCAGGGACAACAGGCCCCAGGACACCTGGGGCAGGGGATCACAGGCAGCGAGAAGAATATGAAGAAGCTGGGGTGAGACTGTTTGCATAGAGCATTCAGGGGGAGTTGAAAAAAAAAAATGTGTGTGTGTGTATGTGTGTGTGCACACACACATGCATGCATACTTGTATGAACACATATACACATACATACATGCCCAGAAAATAGCTGGAGAGATCTTAAAGCTTGCACCCCAAGTTGACCAAGAGACCACTAAATGATGCAAAGACTGTGAGGGGTGAGTGTTTTCAAACACCCAATTTAAAAAGAAATGACATACAAAGAAACAGGGAAATATGACTCATTCAATTAAAAGATTGAAGTCATTCAAAATATTCTTTCTAGTTACAATTGAATGAGACTAGAAACCACCGACAAAAAGAAACTGAACAATTCTCAAATAAGTGGCAATTACTCAACATGCTCCTAGCAACCAGTGGCTGAAAGAAGAAATCACAGGAAAGTCAGGGTATTTCTTGAGATGAATTAAAATGAAAACACAACATAACAAACTTGGGGGATGCACAAAAGTATCTCAAATCAACAAGAGATCTTTTCGTCTGAAAGGATTAGAAAAAGACAAGTTTAAAGTTAGCAGATGAAGGAAATAGTTAAGATTAGGGCAGAGATCAAAATAGAGAATAGGGAAAATCAACAAAAGCAAGAATTGGTTCTTTGAAAAGACCAACATAGAGTGGCTTTAAAAGGCAGAAAGAAGCTCAAAGAAGTAAAACTTAAAAAAAAAAAAAAAAACAGATGTTGCTACCAATTTTACCAGAATAAAACAGATCATAAGCGAGGAATATGATCAACTATATGCCAACAATTTGGATGGCCAGGATGAAACAAATACCGGAAACAGTATGTCAGATCTGAATCTGAAAAAGCAAAAACTCTGACTAGGTTATGACTGGTGGGAGAGTAACAAGAGTCCTGGTCAACTCTTGTAATATGCCTGAGAATAGGGAACACTGCCAGACTCATTCTAGGAGGCCAGTGTCACCGAAACCAGAGAAAAGACCACAAGAAAAATAAAGGCCAATATCTAATATTGATGCAAAAATCCTCAGCAAAATACTAACAAACCAAAACAACAGTGCATTGATATTACGTAATAAACAAGTGGGATTTATCCCTGGATGCAAGAAGCATCTCACAAAAATCAATGTACATCACCGCATTAACAAAATAAAAGGAAGAAAACCCACGATCATCTCAAATGATGCAGAAAAAAATACCTGACAAAATTAAATACATTTTCAAAAAAAAAAAAACACTCAACAAATTAAAAATACAAGAAAACTATCTCAACATAAAAAAGGCTATAGATAAAAAGCTTACAAACAACATCATGATCAATGGTGAAAGACTGAAAGCTTTCAGGAACAAAACAAGGATTCCAGCCTTCAATATTTCTATTCAAGATATAATAGTATTGAAGGGTCTGGCCCCTTAAGTAGATCAAAAAAAAAGGGGGGGTGGGGGGAGAAGGAAGAAGGATGGGGAGGGAGAGAGAGATTGCAGAAAGGTAAAATTACCATTCACTGATACGACCTTTTACGTAGAAAAATAAACTGTAGCACGAAGCCACACATACAAACAAATATATTAACAGCAACAGCTACAGTTCTTCCACGCACGGCGTGACGTCAGTCCTCAGTGTCTGTCCCACTGGTGGTAACACTGAACCAGGTCTCTACAGAGACTGCTGTCACGAGCCCCTGCCCTGCACAGGGGCAGAACGTGGCCCTGTGTCAAACAGGGCAACCAGAGGGAGGGGAGCCTGCCCCCAGCAGGACAAAGGAGGGCCTGCTTGCTTTTACCTGGAGCGGCACCACTCTGGACATCAGGTGATCAAAATAAAGGTCCACTGCTTCGGTGAAGCCCTTGTAAGTTGTCCTCAGTCTCATGCCAGAGTCCTGGAGTAACCAGCTTGAATAAAAGTGGGGTGAATTAGTCTCGCTCTGTGGGGATTGCTCTCAGCAGGGTGGTGCAGATGAAAAGGAAGGTCAGAGCACTCAGGGAAGTCAGACCATTGCCTTCTACAGGCCCCACATCCCCAGGGGGGCACACAATCATCACACCAGCTGAGCTGGGAGCAAGCACTGTCACCACCACGGCCCTCAGCACTGCCTCGGGCCAAGGACCCTGCCAAAGAGGAAGGGTATCTCCAGCTTCATGCTGCAGGTCTGGCCGCTCAAGTCCAAGCGAGGAAAGCTCTTCTGGCGACACACCCGAAGCCCAGTTTCCAAGCCATCTCATTACAAAAGGGGCCAAAGTGGTCAGGAGGGGACACAGACTCAACCTTGGTGTCACCCAGAAAAACAGCCTGGAATAGAGACTGAGCAGTGATGTGCACCCTAGCCCAGACAGCTGCTCTTCCCATCAGCTTCCTCCACTACTTGGGGTTCAGCTCAGGAGGAGCTGGGGAGCAGGGGGAATGCTTCCTCCAACCCATCTGTGTGGCCACCTCCCCGGATGAACATGGAGCATTCATGCCAGAGCTGGAGTCAAGGTAGCTTTCCTTTTCGCTTCCATTCTCTTACAAGAGCCCCTGATGCTTCTCTTGCCCCAATTTGGAAGTCCTGAACAAGGTCGGAAAATGACACATTCAGACTAGGGGAAAGTGGGAGAGAGGGCAACTTCCTCTAGATGGACACATTCAGATCCTGCTCCCTCAGAGCGGGTCTAGCTACTGACCAGTAAGAGTTCCCCCTGTTCTTCGCCCAACTTGGCCCAGGGTGTGCCCACATGCCTAGCCCCAGGTAAGGCGGACCTGAAAGGGCAGGAGAGGTCTGCATGCTGTTTCTAGCTAAGAAATAAATCCTGGACCCTCCAGGGAGGGAAGTCACCCCCTGAGCAGGCGGGCATCAAGCCAGAGGACACTGTTGACACAGCTTTCTGCTCCCACCTCAGGGAGCAGCCTGGGTGCAGCCTAGTTGAAAGCACCCTGGACACACTGACCAGCAGAGAGGGGTTATCCTGGCCTGTACAGGATAGGGACACAGAGCCTGCCTAAGGAAGGGCCGGGTCCTACCTGAAACAAGAAAGAAAACAAGGGTGGGCTGGTGGTGATGTTGTGGGGGCAGGAGGGAGTATGAGGGGGAGCCCCTGGGGAGCCCATACTCCAAAGCAGGCTTCTCCCCTGTTTGGGCAGCATGTGGTAAGAGGGGCAGGCTGGCCACCCAGAACACCACAGGAATGGAAAAGATCTTGTCCATTAACAAAACAGTCTTTTTTGCAGCAAATTAATGGCACTACTGGTGAGGATGAGGGGAGGATGTGGCACCCAGATTTCTGTGCCCAGATTTCTGCGCTGACAAAGGAGCATTCTACTCACCCCTGTGGAGCAACCCCTGGCAGCCCACTGGGCTTCGAAATGAAACAGTAACAAGAATTTGTTTCTGTTATAATTTATCAAACCTCTTGCTAATGCTCCTTAAACAGACCCTGCAGATTTGGCTTTTTACAGGTTTGGTTTTTCCCATCTCATACACAGGGTGAGAGAGAAGTGAGAGCAGTTAAACTCCCCCCCCCCGCCCCCCCCCAGCACAGCTGTGAGAAAGGCCAGGCACCACCAGGTCTCAGTGTCACCCTAGTG